TTAGAGAATTCCATGGTGGTAATTTTATTATCCTTTTGCTATATGTAGATGATATGCTGATAGTAGGGTAAGATGTTCAATTAACTTGCACTTTGAAGGTAGATTTGTTCAAATCATTTGACATGAAGGATCTTGGACCAGCATGACAAATTTTGGGGATGCATATTCGTCGTGATAGAAAAGCGAGAAAGTTATGATTATCACATGAGAAATATGTAGAAAGAGTGCTGGTAAGGTTTAATATGAAGAATGCTAAACCAGTTGGGACACTACTTGGTAGTCACTTCAAACCGAGTAAGGTGACTTGTCCTTCTAAGAAGGAAGATAAAGAAAGAATGACAGAAATTCCTCACTCCCCTATCGTTGGAAGTGATGTATTCTATGGTTTGTACACGACCATACATTGCTCACGCACTTGGTGTACTCAGCAGGTTTCTTGTTAAAACCGATAAAGATCATTGGGAGGCTGTGAAATTGATCTTTAGATACTTGAGAGGTACTTCAAAGATGTGCTTGAAAATCAACTTTAGGATACTTGGTTACTTTTGCAGGGAGAGCTATCTCATGGCAGTCAAAATTACAAAAGTGTATTGCCTTATCTACAACTGAAGCAGAGTATATTGCAGCAACTGAAGCAATGAAAGAAATGCTTTGGATTAAACTATTTCTCAAAGATTTGAGTGTGAAGCAAGATGGGTATGTAATTAATTGTGATAGTCTGAGTCCGTAGAATAATACTTATCATTCTCGGACAAAGCACATTGATGTGAGATATCATTGGCTACGACAAGTAGTAGCAAAACAATTGATATTGTTAGAGAAGATTCATGCTGAGAAGAATCCAACAGATATGATGATAAGCTTGTGACCAGAGAAAAGCTTGAGCTTTGTGCCGAACTGGCAAGCATGGACCCTAATTAATATGTTAGAGAATAATCTCCTTACTCAGTGGGTTGGAGGGGGAGATTGTTATATGGGCTTCCAGCCGATGAGGAAAAGTTGGCCCAAATCACTATTATATTATATTTTAGGTCAAAGTTGGTGGCTATACAATTGGAAAAATAGAGAAAACCATGGTTGTTTGAAAAAAAAGAAAAAAAGGCTGCGTGCGTGTGGTAAAGAAGGAAAAGTAAGAGAGATTTTTCTTTCAATCTTTAGGTGTGGATTTCACACAAGTATTTTTCTCTACACAGTACAAATTGAGAATTTCTCTAAGTCGTATCTTTTAGGTACTTCACGAAAGTGTAGTATTCAAAGGGGCTATCTCACGAGTTTTATCAAACTAGTGGTTTGAGGATGGATTTGGCTGAGTTGCCCTGTGATGTTTTTTCCCTCTACATTGGAGGGTTCCACGTAAAACTTGGTGTTGTGTTCTCTTGTGCTGTTTTCTTTCAGTATTTCTTATTTGCTAGTTTGCTGCTCTATTTGCTTAGTGCTGTAATTTAATTTTCTACAATAGAGGTGAAATTGCCCGATCTCCCCCTTATGCATCGAGCCCTAGGTGGGAGCAAACCCTATCTCCCATGGACTGTTGGGCCAAAACTTCTTGATAACCTGGGCTCTGATACCAATGTTGGGTGGTCTTAGAACTTTTCAACCCCAAAAGCTAGCTTAAGAGTGAGGTTTTCCCTCACATTTATAAACTGATCACCAACCCCTTCCACAACAGATGTGGGATAACCTCATCATTCACTGTTCAGATTATTAGCCAAAGCAAAAGGGATGGAGAACTCAGTTGAGGGGTGCTCAAACACAACAAATAGCATTGTTCATAGTGGCTTTTTCAAAGAGACAACTACTTCGTTTATTTACGAGTACATTTGTCTTGGTACAAATATTAAAAATGCTGCAAGTGATAGCAAGAAATACAAAAATTCATGGGTTTTTAATGTTACTTGCAAAAGTTCTTTGTGCTTCTTGGATAGTTAACTTATCAGAGGATCTTTAGAATACTTTCCCCTTAAAAATGACCTGAAAACACAAGCTACTAGAAATTCTTTCCTGATTATAGTATGAACTAGAGTTATAGTTATACCCTAGCATTAGTTTGGCAAAAACCTAATAAGACAATAAGCCCCTGTTTGACAATCATTATTTAGGAAAAACAAAGTTTTGAAAAGTGATTTTTAGGAGAATGTGTGGTTAAAAAGTATGGAAAAGTTTTTGGTTTATGTGCAGAATACTTTATTGTATGAATGTGTGGTTGAACATGAGTAGGTAGGAAAAAGAGTTTTCAAATAATGGTTGTCAAACAGGGGCTTAACAACAGCAAGGTTGCTTACAAATAATGGTTGTCAACAGGGGTTTTCAAATAATGGTTGTCTTTCACATATGTCCATGCTTACAAATGTGCACGTATATGTAAAAAAACACACAAATTCATGGAGTAGCAAGGAGCCTTACTTCCCATTGTACCAAAAGCATTTGAACTGATCCTCGACCAAATGAGTTTTCAGATCAGGTTGCTTTGCCATCATCTAGCAAAAGAGAAAGGTTAGATGAAAACAGACGGACGAACACATGAAGATGGATTGAGGAAGAGTAATGACTCTGTTCATTTTTAGGATGAATTAACAGATGAACGAGATTGAAGCAGTAGAAGTACCTTTTCAATAATCTGATTATAAAGCCTTGATGGAAGATAAGCCAAGGTTGTACCACTGTCAATAATTGTATCTCTATCGGTATCAAAGCCAAACAAATCTGTTGGAAGGTCTAGAGATTGACTGTCCACATCAACTGCCTTCATAAGAACATTGTAATGCGCCCTAAGAGAGTAATAAAACTGTAATTAAAGACATATATGTAGTCAAGATAGACAAACTAATATCAGATCATTAAGGGCATATAAAACGAAACTAAATTCCAAAGACACAATTTGCAGCAACTAACCTGAAAGGCAATTAATGCTAAACTAGCACACATGCTGCACCAGATTAAATAAACTAATTTGATGACTTAAAAATGGCGTCCATAAAAAACGTGACAATAACTGCATTCAGCAGTAACATCATAAAGGTAGAGGTATTATACATAGTTGAGCTTCAATTTTTAAGGTACTCTGCAAAGCTTTTAGGGAACCGAAGGATTCAGCAATATTGGAAAATTCACAGCATTTAGGAAATTGAAAACAAAACACAATTGTTATTAGACAAAATTGGTGATTGAAATTCGTCTATTAGATGGGTGGCTGGATTGTGTCACTTCGGTAGAATTAATATCTCAAAGTGAACATGCCTTTCAACCAATCAAGTTAATAGAACGACCCTACAATATTCAAATTCAACCGTGTCAATTTTTTCGCATGTTATCATTGCCTCCTTATTAAAAGCTGACCACCTTGAAAGAAACAAATATAATATCAAAATGCAAACAAATTGAAGTTTTCCTACATGGTAATGATCAGATTCTCCAATTATATGCTGGAAGAATAAATATTGTCCTTAAGAACTTTAAGTTCCTGAATAGTTGTTACTTTGTTAAAAGATATTCCAATAATTGCTATGCACAAACAATGAAAATAATAAACATAAATTGCACCACTAATAACTCCAATGTTCTCCCAAAAAGACTTGGAAGATACAAAAAAGTAATGAAATCCGTACTCGTTTTCAACCAGTGGTGTTGAATTTACTTTTGGCTGCTCCAATTCACCAATAGCAAATATGCCACCTCCAATTCTTCCATCGAGGCAATGTGAAAATACTTTTTTCACCTTTTTAGATAAAGCAAGCTGTGAAAGAACGGATGTGTTCGATTGCCCAAAACCTATTATTCCATCAGCTGCTTGAGAGGATGAATCTAAATCTCCAGATTGTTTAGCTGAGCACCTATCTTGGATCAAGATCACAAACATGTAAGCTAAAGAAAGCAACATAATAAATAGGTTATGCTTGAAATCAAACAGATTGTAGAATCATTCCACGGGCAAGAGCAAGACTCCGTGGAACTCAAGTATGATCCACCAAAAAAAAAAAACATATAATGTAGGCTGAAGGGAACGACCAAATGCAATCCAAATGCTTCCTCCAGACACTCGGCCATTACCTTGGATATTTCCCAAGCCAGATAGGGAAGCCTTTTATGAACTTTGCAGAAAGCCACAAACAAAAGACAAAAAATATTAAAGATAAAATGCTGCGAGAAGACAAGCAATCTCGCATAATTAGCTATAAATAACATACACTCTTGGATGACTTAGGCCTACATATCTAAATCACTGTATGCATAAAATAATCAGTCTATTCACTAGAGCCTGAGGCTCATACAAGTGAACCAGAATTCAATTACAAGAAAACGTTGAGATATGTGAGTCTAGGTTTTCTACAAGAACCTGAGGCTCATACAAGAGAACAAGGGCTTTTCTCTATTTCTCAGAAATTTGTGACACAAGTTGAACTAATCGAGTGCATTTAGCCTGTAATGGCATCAAGAGAGTGAATGTGTATGTTGCTTGAATTAATTTTATTCTGACTTGGATTTAACATTGCCTAAGTACTCAATTTTGCACTGGGGATAGCTGAGAGCATGTTAGGCTGTGCTTATAAATAATTTAAAAAGTAAGTTTGACTTACCTATAAGCCAACCAAACATGCTCGTTGCCTAAACAATATAGAAATCAGTTACAAGCATTGGAACCAAATTACAGAGACACCTAAAAAGAGGGTCTAAGATCAGAAATGAAAACTCACCCAAATGATATGGACCCATTCATGGTCGTCGTTTGAAGGTTTCCCGACACTTGATCGAGTCTAATGTAATCACTGACAAAATAGCCCTCGGTTTTACTCCCATCTCCATAAGTAACTGCATATTCACAGGCCATTCCGACCTTGCAATCTGAATTCGGACCAGTGAACACAGTATTGCAAAACTCTTGATCGCACGTGATTTTTTTGCCAGTCGAAGAGGCCGTTATGTCATACTGGTTCAAGGGTATCTGTCGAATGAAAACAGACCCAAAACTAGTCATTGATATCCCAATCCTTCAAATAAAGATGGTTAAAAAAATGAATAATAGAAGGAGGACATACATTAAGGCTGCTTTTTGTGGGACACCTGTCACAGTTTTTACAATTCACCCAGAGAATGTCACTTCCTGTATCGACTTGTACATAATAGTCATTTGGAGGAGACCCAATAGCAATCTTGGTGTAATAGAGCCTGCAACAATTCATTGTAAAACCGATGTCAAGAAACAAATTAAGAGCATGTGCGCAATTTTTGTTGTTCAAAGTTGGTGCAATAAAAAAGATATTTAGCAGAAGAATCGAATCGAAATTATGAGCAATAGATAGAGATTCTAACAGCTACAACCATTTTGCAAAGAAAGCTAATAGTAATAAATATGTGCAAGCACGAATATTCATATACACAATATCACAATATGACAAGTTTGGCACCAAGTATTAAGTCGTGTTTAATTTAGACAATACTTTTTTTTATTATGACCATACGAACAATCAATTATGAATACATGTAAACAAAAATTAGTCATTTTTTAAATCCATATCAACCTTCTGCATTCCCACAATCCGATAAGTAATTTGATCATGAAAACACACATCATCATGCCACAGAACATATACTAAGTACTAAATCAATCCTGAAGTAAAAGAAAATAAAACAGTTTTTAACTAAAATTTTTTGTCCTTCATAATCCTATGGTAATATTTTCTTAAGATTTCTGATAAGCAAAATCTGTATTGAAAGGTGCGTAATTCATGTATATGCACAGTAATATGGAAAAAATAGATGATAAGGAGAGAACATCAAATTCCCCACAGCAGGTGAACTGCATCTCCTGAACAATCCTCCAATAGGAACAAAATCCAACACCAATCAAATTCCAATTTCACTCGTCTTTTACCTATGCCCTCGATGTTTGCACCACAACTATGCCTACAAAAAATTTTCGTCTGCAAATTTTTTTTCCCACATACAAGAACCTTTCCCTATGAACATATTTTGTATGAAAAACATAAAATTCTTGTAGTGTATGCTTTACTTTACTTTAAACCCGCCTTAGACAAATCAGAAATTATTTAAGTCAAATTCAACTTGATTCTTCACATATTTTAATTCAAAGTCCTCAATTTCA